AGAAAGAAAACATGCAGAATACGACAACTGACGATAAATTTCCGAAATGGGTGGATACATGGACGAGGGTTGTTGAGGAGATTGCGAAATCTAGAGGTGAGGCGGTTAAAGGGTGAAAACCTTCTTCTGCTATTGCTACAGAGGAAAAGAATTGGTTAATGGATCAATACTGAAACTTGCTCATGTCATCTGTGGATGCAAGGATCGTTATGATGTGTTCAACCCCACCATATTTGGTGACAATCTTCAATGATAATCATACTTCTAATGATCTGATGATCTAATTTCCAGTTTATTATTCTACACACACAAATATTTAAAGAAAATGTCTAGTTATTGGGATCGCAATAGCGAATAGAAAAAGACAGAAAAAGACAGAAAAAAGAAAGAAATAATAGAAAGCCAGAAGGGAATATCTTAGCTGCCAATATGAATAAAAAATGATAAAGAAGGAAAGGCTCAAAGAAAATCGATATCAGAGGTAGAATAAAGAATCACTCCACCCTATAAACCAAGAGCTCTTGTGGGCAGCATACCATGATTAACTCGAGGAAGAAGACGAAAACGAAAAGGCACCCCCTGAATAAATAAATGATTAAGTGAAGTAAAAGAAAGTCCACGGAAGTTTCAAAGTAAGTAAAATCACGAAATGGAGCAGTGGTGATGAACGATGTTACGTGGTTTTGATTTGGTCAGTGCATTACCTCCCCTCGCTCGCTTACCTCGAAATAACAGCACACCTACCATCTCTCTCAATCAATCAACTTAATCAACTTCATCCTCATCAACCTCCCACTCCTTCAACTCCTCCGGTGTAATCCTATTCTTCAACCACTCCAACACAGCCTCCGTCCCTTTCGACACAACCTGCCAACGGGGGACACGGAAGCTATTCCCCGCCACATCCAACCTGCGCAAACATGCTCCACCCCTACCACCCGGTCTAGACCCTGATCCAGTACCGGAGCCCTCGGTGCCGCCCAAAAGACCCAACCTCGGCGGCAGGGAAGAAATGTTATTATTACTCACATCAAGCACCTGCAAGCCCTGCACGGCATCAAAGTCCAAGCTCTCAATTTGATTATCGGAGACGAGGAAGGTGATTAGCTGCGGGTAGCTGTACCGGATGAAAGGCAAGGGTCCCGTTAGGCGGTTATTGGAGACATCGAGGAGAGTAAGGAGCGGAGCGGAGAGATGGGCTTGGAGCGGTTCTAGGCTGGTCAGCCCGGTGGAGCTGAGCGTGAGGTTTTGCAGGCTTGTGAGGGTAAGTGGGGCTGTTAGGAAGGATGGGGAGGAGAGGGGATTGTGGGAGAGGTCGAGGTCAGTGAGTGTGTGGGCGATTAGGGAGAGGCCTGCTGTTGGCAGGTTGTGGAAGCGGTTGTGGTGGAGGTAGAGGCATTTAATTCCTGTGGATGAGGCGAGGAGAGGCTCTATGTCTGCTGGGTCGAGGTCGGAGATATCCGTGGATGAGCGATCGAGGACACCTCCGGACTTGACGCGCCAGGCGCTTGGGGGAGTAGGGCTTTCCGGTGCTAGGGTGAATTCTGTCTGGACTGAGCCATCTTCTTCCTCTGCTTCATGCACTTCGGGCTCGCAGCGGTTTCGCAGCTCTCTTTTCAGGTCATCGGTGTCCATCGTAAGGAGTTTGCGTTCCACTAATGGGTTGTTTGCTATATGGAAGGAAATGAGACTATCGATCAGGGAGATCTTCTCGTCCAGCGTTGTTATATTGTTACCCGTAAAATCGACGACTTTAATGTTCTCCAGTTCTAAAAGGCCGTCTGGTATGGTAGAGAGGGCATTGTCTTCGGCGGTTAGAGTAAAGAGGGATTTCCAAGTAGAGATGTTTGGCAACACCTTGATCCGATTTGCGTCTACTGACAGTTGCTGGAGGTTAGGTAGCTCTAAGTGTTCAGCAGTAGAAAGGCCTTCCAAGCGGTTTCCTGCTACATTCAAAATTTGTAACGTGTTCAAACGGGTAACTGTTGAAGGAAGAAGATGGCCTTGGAGGCGATTCTTCTGGGCATTGACCTCGACGAGTGGTAGTGCAGTGAGAGCCTCAAACGGGAGGGAGGTTAGTTGGTTTTCAGCAACGTTAATAACACGCAGTGAGGAGAGGTTGGCTAGGGTATCTGGAAGTTCAGTAAGGGCGTTGTCGCGAAGATCCAGGACTTCAAGTTTACAAAGGGAACAAATACTGGGTGTCAGGCTGCCTTGAAGTTTATTGTTTGCTAATTTCAAGTCAATTAGAGACGCAATTTCTGTAATGATGTTGAGGGCTTCCGCGTCTAGTTGGTTGTGGGCAAGGTTTAAGGAACGCAACCGCTGTAACCGTCGCAATCCATTGGGTAAAGTAGTAAGAAGGTTGCCATGAAGATCGAGGATTTCCAGTCCCCCAAATTGACAACCTTTAGTATCCTCGTTCAACTCCAGAGTATCGAAGTCAACGTCAGGAAACAGAAAGTCCGGCAACGACTCGAACTCATTGTCCGCTGCAATAAACTTTATAAGATCAACGCTCTCATACCACTCGCCCTCGCTTTCCAGGTCAAAGTCATACATTGTCATTACCTCATCCGGGATCGTCCTCAAGCCCATGGCGGCGATATTTAAATGACCAGACGTCCTTGCTGCACTAGTCCTGTTCTTCAACACCCGTTTATTGGGATCTGTTTTGGACCACTGGGCAAAAGGATCGCCGAAGTCAACGGGATCCATATTGTTGTCAACCACACCATTTTTAACAGAGCTTTCTCTTGCAGCTTTCTTAGCAGCTTTCGCTTTAGCAATACTTTCTCGCAAAGCACTTGAAGATTTTGCTACTTTTTTTGCACCTAGTTCCCGCGTGGCTAAATCAGATGGATTACTGTCTGAGGTCACGGAAGCCCGCGATGAGATTTTTGATGTGGAAGACGTGGGGGAGGTGACATTGGAGGAAAGTGTCGAAGACGGCTTTCGAGGTTTTGGTACAAATGGCTTAATAAGTTCCTTGGTAGCGCTTCCCTCATTGCTAGGTTGGTCCGCAAATGAGGTACCTAGTGATAGCCGCCCTTTGGCATGCCTCATTGCCATGCTTTTGCCTCCTCCGTAAAATGAAGTCCGTTGAGTAGCCGTTGTTGCCTTTGGCTCTTTCTTTGATGCTAGAGATGTTCTTTTGGAAGACTTATTTTGGTTTGGCTCAATACTTGTACCGTTTGATGAGGGCCGACTTGGAGAATCTTTAATCAATGAAACCGCTCTCTTGAGGACTGGTTGGGTCAAATTGGAGGTGCTAGAAGGTGTCCGCGGGGCGGATACGGTCCGTACAGCAGAGGGGTTTTGGAGGACAGGTCCAGACATTTGATCTTGACGTGAGGACGGTCGCGAATGGCAGTTGTTTATAGTAGAAGCTGGGCACGAGAAATGTGTCATGGGGCTTTCTGGCGCAAAAAAGGTAGATCTCTTCTTGCTAGGGGAGGGAGATGTGGGAATTTGAGCTATAGTTTCGATAGTTCGATCGGAGAGTGATGGCCTGGATGGCTTGTCTGTTGGAGAATAAATGCTGGTTTGGTCGCTTCTGCTTTCATGGTCATGGTCATACAGGCTTCCTCGAGACTTTGCGGGGGAAGGAAGAGGAGGCTTCTTAAAGAGTTCTTGTGATGGTCTTCGCAATCGCTCTATGTTTAATCCGGGATCGGCCTGCAGTCGTTCGTGAGATGGGGATGGTCTGACGGATTTGGTAGTTGAATGGGTTGGCAGCGGGAGTCTGGACATAGGCCGTGGAATGCCACTGGGGCGCTTTGGAGTGGAATAACTCTGGTCCATAGTTTGGGAATATGTAAGCGTGTGTAAACCAGGGATGGATAAGTCAAGTATCTACAGGTTGATTGATGGTGAACTATAGCTAAAGACGAGAAGCATAGCTAATAGAGGTGGGAGTAGTTGATTAATTGAAGATATTCAAAAGGTAAGAGGTCCACCAGGTCCACTAGGTCCAACAAGCAGTCTGCTCTCCAACTCTTTTTCTACTCGTCCTGAAACTGAGATGTCTTTGTAGCAAGAGTGTTCAAAGAGCTGAGGTTGTTCATGGAACATCCTCATCTCCCTGAGATTCATCCCTGAGGTTCATCCCTTGAGGTTTGAAGCTTTTGTTTGGACTTTCCCCTATTAGGACAATGCCTGAGAGCGGGATCAACTGTTTTTCCAGAGAGGCTCTCCGCTAGCCATTTGGGGGTTAGCGTCCGTAATAAGGTTCGGCAACCCAACGCTAAGCCCCATCCGACATCCAAGTCACGTGATCTACACGTGGCCCGTGGTTGCCAAGACCCCCAGCCTCCTCACTTTTCCGCTTTGGGACCCGTTATTATTGACTCGCGGCTCAATTCCAAGCCAATCTCAAAACCTCCGACAGTCGTTCTTTTGTCAATATCCAAATCTCTTGATGGTTATATATCTACATCCGGCTTTTTTCCACTCTCCTAGTCGTAGTGCTGCTCCCGTCTCCAGTTGTGGTCGTCGACGTTGTCTCACCTGTTGCTTCACGTTAAGTGGGTCGCTGCATCCGTTGCTTCCACAACCATCGAGATAATCCTGTCACTTCGCCTGCCCCATCTCCTTAATCCAACCTTGTTTTCTCAAGGAGTCTTCCACTTCAGGTTATAGCCACTTACGTGGTGATTCATCTATCAATTATCTAAATATACCCTGACTCTTAAACACATCGTCATTGATTGGGCATCTTGTTCCACAGTTTTTTCCGTTTCCTTGGTTTCGAGTCCGCTGGAAGCAGAGACCTGAACATCGGGCTACCTTGTTCCTCTCCGAGTTGCTAAAGCCCGTCATACTACTGTCGTTGCGACTGTGACGTGGCTCTCTATCATCGTCACATACCAGTACTGCTTTAATATTTACCACCTGTACACGGCGGATCTTCCCGAAATTTTTTATCCAAAATTCTGATCAATCCAACTCACACATATTTATACTCCTCCTCTCTTCTCCCCGTGGGGCTGATTCAGGTCATGAAGCCCAAAAGCGCTGAAGAGCGCTCCTCCCAGAGCTCATTGGGATCCCCCGCAGATATCAGAATCCCCAGCACCCCGATTCTTTCCAAAACTTCCCTATCTGCCTCTCCGGATCGGCCAGCAATCGACCAAATTCCCTCCATTCCCGATAAATTGCGGTCACCTCTTCGGAAGTCCGTTTCCTCCGACATGACACCTCCTCCATCATCGCAACATGTCGCCAATGTGGCCACTCCCTTCCGCCGTTCCCGCTCAGATTCTAATCCCTTCCTCGCATCACCACCAGATACAATTGACCAAACGCTATGTGTTGCATACGGAGCTTCAGATGATCTCCCTTCATCGAGGGATATCGACAATGCAGATGAAGCGCAGCTACGTAAAGTCGCAAAAGATCTCCTTATTTTCGCACAGGAATTCCGCATGTCAGCTGCTCATTTCAAACTCCAACATAGCCTCTTGTCACTCACTAGTAGCGAAGCGGTCAAGCGAGCAGAGGTAGAACAGCAACTCGCAAGGAGGGAAGTCGAGATTTTACAGAGCGTAGAATATCGCCATCGACGCGGTCTCAGCGTAGAGAAGTCGCCTGAGCTGTCTCCCAAAACCCCACCGTCAGACGCTACATTGAAGCGAATCCGGGAGCTCGAGGATGTGATCATCACACTCGAACGTCGGCTGCGTCGAGCCAAAAGGGTCATCGAGGAAGAAACCGACAAAAACGAGCTGCTTTGTGAAGAAAACAGTCGTCTTAAAAAACGTATCCGAGAAAATCGGGAGCACTTCACACTCATGCTGGACCACGGTTCATTAGCATCCAGTCCCCAGGCCGAATTTCTAACCCCGCAAAGAAAGGCGACATCGTCAACGACCCGATACCCTGACAGTGCCCGCAGCCATGCCAGTACAGTTGGGAGCCAGGATCCGATTGCCACACTGCTCGCGGCAGGTCAAGTTCTACATGGTGAGAATGTTAGCGTGCATTCAACTCCAGCACGTAACCGCTCCTACAAGCACCAGGGCCAGGGCCATTCCCGTGGAACCCACTCTCTATCTTCATTACCAGTAACCCCGCAGCGTTCCCGCGTCGTTGAACCCCAAGGGCTTTTCTTCACCCCCATCAACAAGCGCACTCCAGACGCTCGTCACCACAATCATTCCGTCTCCCTCTCACACCGTGAAGAGCACGATCGCCGTTCTCGGGACAGCACAATATCCGCCTCCGAACAAGATGAGGAAGCAGTTACTGATGAGGACATCCCCGCCTCCCAGGCCAGCTCGTTGGCCACCAGCATGCTCCGTCGCTACCCGGTCGCTGGTGGTAGCAGCAGCCAGGAGCAGCAGAATCCCACGAGTATAACGTCTTCAAATCTTTCCAAGTCCAGCTCTATTCTTCAAAGTAAGTTGTTTGGGCAGGTTAAGAAGCCAGGTGTTGATCGGGCGGGGGGAAGCGATAATTTTAAAAAACGGAAGAGTGGTAGTTATGGGAATGATAAGGAGATTGCGGCGAAGAAACTGAAGGTTGGAGAGGTGTTGGGGTTGGGCATTCAGTCTTGATTTCTCCCTTTTTTTTCACGATTTATTTCCTTTGTGACTTTGTCTTGTCTCTTTTCTCTTTTGATTGCGATTTTCTTTTCTTTTGCTCTGGTTTGATATGAGTCTCCTCTGTCCTTGTCGTTTCTTTCCTTTGGATTCTGTGGGTTGATGTGGTGTGTGATTATTATTATTTATTATGACTTGATGAAGGATTTTATTTTCTATGTCTTTGTGATGTGCTTTATGGACTTAAGGAAGTGATTCCGTCCTGGTCTTTAATTTATTTTTTGGAGATAAGGGCTGCGTTTTCTTTGTGTTTAGTTTCCTGTCTTCTACTTCCCAACTTCCTGTCGGGTTTGTTGGGGTTTACTGGAGCCGGTTGGTGATGATGTTAATAGTGAAGACTATACTCCGTACTGTACATGGAAGAGGCATGCGAGTAAATGTATGTAGGCGGCAGTTGATAGTTAGTAGTATATTAATGCCGTTAGTGCAATAAATGTATGAAAGAAGTTTCTACCATCCATAACTACCATCGCCACCACTATTTTCGCTGTGTCTGTAAGGTATCTTGCACACCACAACAAGCTCATGAACAGTCATTATGAACATCTCAAATAATCCCCGCTTTCAGCCTTGTAGTCTCTATAATCCGTGTTCCTTATTTAATCCCTTATTGAGCTGTTGAATATTTTACGAAATCTCGATGTTATTGGTCGTTACCCGATTGGGCAAACTTTAGGGCTAACTTCCAAGCCTGCTTGCTAAGCGAGCCAATGCGGCTCTGCCGGACCAACCACACCAAAAAATACAACTCGCACTGAAAGATCTCAACTTCATCCCGAACTGCGCCCAACGGCAACGACCTCCAACCCACCCCGGCCTCGACATCTTGGTCTCCATCTGTCACCATGGTACGTGTCCTTCTGTCTCCTCTCTAAATTCGCATCCTGTTTATGATCCAATTGGGAGGATCTGAGATGAAGAAATAGAGACAAAGACTGACCGTGTTGATGTTGTTCGGTGGATAATATAGGCGATCAAGCATAACCAGACCATCCCGAAAAACCGTAAGTTTGTCTGTTATACGATTTATTCACGATAATACGTTTCATTTGGGAAATAAAAGAGGGGGAAATTTTTCTGACCTTTTTTTTTTACTCTGTGCAGATTTCCACAAGGACTGGGCTCGCCGCGTTCGGGTACACTTCGATCAGGTAAGAGAATACTATAAAAAAAGATAAATACCCCAAGCCACCCATCCATCCGTCTACAGACCAAATTTCACAGAGTTTGAGCATTGAAGAAGATTAAAAGAGAGAGAAAAAAATCGGAGAAAATGAGAGCAAACCGGCCTGAGGATGGAATTTCATGAACGATCAAAACTGACAAGTTACGTCCGATTTTATAGCCCGGTCGTAAGCACCGTCGCCGGGAGACTCGTCTCGTGAAGGCTGCTGCCGTCGCTCCCCGCCCAGTCGACAAGCTCAGACCCATCGTGCGATGCCCCACTGTTAAGTACAACCGTCGTGTCAGAGCTGGCCGTGGCTTCACACTTCAAGAGCTGAAGGTATGGGGTTCCTTTTGTTCTATTCTTTTATGAGTAAGAGAGTGGAGATTAGGGTACTCGGACAGTTGTTTTTTCCCTTCCTTTTCGCATTGGGGCTAGTTGCTTCATACTCACTTGAGACATTGGCTCCTTTGCGGACTGATGGAAGTCGAAGACATCCTGAACACGAGCTGGATTGTATAGACCAAATATATGAAATAACCACAAAAACTCACACTAACAAAAAAAAACCAAAACACAGGAAGCCGGAATTCCTCGCAACCTGGCACAGACCATTGGCATTGCCGTTGACCACCGACGCGTCAATGCCTCCACTGAATCCCTCACTGCCAACGTCGCCCGCCTAAAGGAGTACAAGGCTCGCCTGATCCTCTTCCCCCGTCGTGCCGGTCAACATAAGAAGCTCGACTCGTCCGCAGACGAAATCAAGGCTGCCCAGGATAGCTTCTCCAAGAGCATCGAGTCCCTTCTCCCAATCAGCAACATCAGCCGTGCTGAGGCCATCTCGGAAATCAGCAAGAACGACCTCCCAGCCGGTGAGGCTGCTGCATATCGGCGACTCAGAGACGCACGGAGTGAGGCTAGGCTAGTGGGCGTAAGAGAGAAGAGGGCTAAGGCTAAGGCTGATGAGGCTGCTGCGACAAAGAAATAGAGGGCAGAAAAATATTGAAAACTTATTTTTTTAAGAAACGGAAATCAAAGCTTCTCTTTTCACTTTCCTTTTCTTTCGTTTAAAGAAGAAAACGAACACGACGAAACAGGAAACGAATATAAACGCCGCCAGTTGTTTTTTCTCCCCCTAAGGTCCCATCGCTCCTCCCTCTCTCCTTTTGTGCGTGTGGAAAACCGGCAAAGAAAGCGAAGAAAACCATGGCCAATCATCTGCTTTCTGAGTTTTTCTACCTTATATTCTCCCTCTGCTCTTTTGTTTTCCTGCTGGTTTCCTCTCCTGTTTTAGTGCTACTTCTCATGACTGAGCGGATTGCTTGGGTTCGTCGAATAATGCTTGGGTGATATACAAAAAAGGGGCAAAAAAAAAAAAAAATGGAAAAGAGGAAACCAAAGAAATTTTGTTGCATGTGGTCTGTTAAAGCTGGGTCCGGGGAATATACAACAAAATACCGTGACATGAATTTTTTTTAAACCTCTTTTTTCTTTTTTTTTTCTCTTTTTAATGATACGATGGATTGTCCTTGACATCCTTTCTTGCTATCTCTCCCTCCCGCACTTTCTCACTATTCGTGTGTTTTCTCTTCCCTTGGCTCTTCAATGCTATCTGTGGAACGTAGAATGTTAACAGGCTCTATTCCACCGCCAATTTTGGACGGCCATCAGGCATGATTGGGCTGCGCGACCTGAACCCTAAAATTGAAGGAGTTTAAAAGAAATGAAAATATAGAAGCTATACGATTGGAGAAAACCGGAGATTATCATACAAGAATACACCGGACCCTGGTAATATCTCCTGTCAACATATGAACTGATACCGCTGTTGGATCCCTATAGTGATCCGCGCATGGCATTCATGCTATCTATCCGTAGTTCATATTGCCTTTAATTGCTTTCCCATTCTAAGCATGAACTTCCTGCGTGGATCAATCAAAGAATTAAGAAGTGGAAACAAGATATGGCAATCACTATACAGCTACATTTCCTCTTGAAACTGAATCCTTCGTTATATCAGCCATTTCCTTGGGACTGGAGAGAGAGAAGAACTGAAGAGAAAAAGACTTCTTCACACGTATAATATGCGATTCTTTATGGAACCAGTTTAACCAGATCCTCAGCATGGGGTATATCGATATTTCGAAACTGAGAATCTCGATAGAACGCATTGAGTATCTAACATAAGAAAGATTCCTCGATCCTCATCCTCATCGTTTAAAATCACGATGTGTCAAGGAATATCTGACATACACTTGCCGTCCCATATTGGCAGGTGCATTAAAAAACTCCCGCTCGTTACGAAAACCATAAATTTAAAAAATGCGTATTTAAAATCACCACGCTACAAGAAGCACTCATGCATAGAACAACAACAGCAAGACACCACCTTATACAACATTTCATATACAACCCTAATCCTTTAAGCCCTAACCCTTCTCATGCAAAACCTACACAACTCCAAAAACAACCCAAACAACCCCCTCTACAGCCCTAACAAGCAATTCTGCATCGCCATCAATTTCAGCCGCATATTCATGCCCCCCTTTTCTCTTTCTATTCCCACTCTCACCCCCACTCTTCATAAAACTCGCAAAAACTCTCTTCGCCTCTTTCTCCACCTTCTTCGAGGCCATAGACGACGATGCCGATGATGACTTAGGCACAGAAACGCTGATATCCGGCTCTAGTTGTGGCTCACTCGTCCATAAATCCAATGTAAGCGGACATATTACTAGTAGTTGTGCTGTTGGCGTTGAGGGGTGTATTGAGTTTTGTGGTTTTTGTGGGATGGTAGAGAATAGGAAGGAAGTGCGCCCGAGATGTGGGAGGAGTGTGTGGGCGGAATAGGATTTTGATTTGCTATATTTGGCTTGTTGAGAGGAGGGTGATTTCTGTGTTGATATACGATCACGTAGTTCCTCAAGTTGCACCCAGATCTTCGCGCGGGATATATCGGCTTCCCAGTATCGGGATACACCCCAGCAGAGGCCAGAAATATCCCGTTGCAAAAGAGGGCTTGATAGGCGGGTAGTTAACCATGAGGAAAGGGGTGCGGGGATATTAGGACCACTACTGATTATGCCAGTTTGTTTGGGATCTGTGGATTGCAGCTCTGTTGGAGTGGATATTGAGATAACAGTTTGTGTTGCTGGGTTTGTTTGAAGGGATATGGGGATTTGGAAGAGATGGGCAGGAAATGGAGAGGGGGCGGATAGAGTGAAGTGGTGTGTTTGGGTAATTAAGGGCGAAGATGAGTGAGTTTCTTGCGTCGAGGTTGATAGATTCCGGGCGGAGGATGTCGTAGCGGTAGTCGCGGTGAGGGAAAGGGGGGCGAAGAGGGTGAGGTATGGTGTTAGATCTACTGGTTGCTGGAGAGCAAAAGGGTTATTTGGTGGAGGGGATGGAGGAGGAGCAGCTAGTTCAATTGAGGGGATGAATCGACCGGAGGAGAAAGGTAGAAGGGACGAAAGGACAGACGAAAGTGGAGGCGGGCAGGGAGGCGGTGGAAGTGGGGGTGCGCATGAAGGGTTTGAGGTTGTTAGAAGTTCGCTTTCGAATAAGTTGTCAGCTATACGTTTCTGGACACCTAAAGGGAGTATCACTGTCACTTACATTAGATTCCTGATAGATTTCCTCATCTGGCGCAGGATAATCATCTGGTATCTTATATCGTTGCGATTCATACTCTATCTTTGCGATATCCCCTTTCAACCTAGCGAGCTGCGCGGCAAGCGCATCGCGCAGCTTCTGCTTTTCCCCCAGCTCATCTGGGACCTCTTCCTCAGGAAATAAGGTGTTCGGTGATCTAACGCCATTGCCATTGCCATCGCCATTACCACCATCATCCCCGGCAGGTACTGTATCTCGAGGTCTGAGAGGGCTAGGCTTTTTCGCTCCATCTCTCAGCCTTCGTTCCCTCTTCTTCTCTTGCCGGTAACTCGGACTACTGCTGCTCAATAACCCTCTCGGGCGATTAGGCAACCTCTCTAAACCCAACTCGGTGGGCGTAGGCGGCAATTCGGGTTCGCCATTCAATTGCCCCGGCGACGATGAAGATCGAGTACGTCTTCCTCTGGAAACTATGTCCTCCGATGCTTCTTTTACAAGCCCCGACTCTTTGTTCAGGTTATCACCAGCTCGAGTGCTGGGTCGTAGCGCGGAAAATTGTGCCCAGGGCTCTGGAGAGATCGACACCCGGGATAGTTGAGAGGGTTTACTGAGTGGCTTCGCCACAGGAGGCACTGGAACACTCGATCTATGACGCGGCGACAAAGAAGGATTTATACTTGGCTGGCGAATAGGGAGGTCTGCCACAATAGTCGCTGTCGCAGTCGATGTCGCAATCGCAGAGGTAGAAAGAAACGACGGCGGTCTATTTGCACGAATTCCAAGCCACCCATCTTCTGTGCCTCCACCAACACCAGTATCCTTCTCCCTGCCGCGACTTACTGGCCTTAGTTGCGCGGTTTTTGCAGGCGAACGACTCATGACTCGGGAGAGAACATCGGGGTGTGAGCGGGCGAGGCTGGCTCTGGTTGGCGACTGGAAGGATGCACGACTTGGTCGCTGCGGTGGTTTTAGATCATTGCCATTGGTTTGAGGCTGTTGGGCAGTGTTTGACGCGTTGACTGCGATTGCGCTGGAGGAATTGGACCTGCGCCGCTTCGCAGGCGAATCGAGCATGAAGGCGGACGCGTCTGCATGCGGTGTGGAGTTGGGAGGGGTGAAGGGATGAGGAGGTTTTGTTGCTACCGCTAGAGGTATGTCAGCGGCCAACGGCCAGCGGGAAATTGAAAACTGGAAAGATGTTGTATGCTAGACCCACCATGTCTGTATTGGATGATGTATGAAGCATAATCAAAGTCGTCGGTTGTTGTTGTTATCGATCAGCAATTCGCCGGGATTTGTCAATCGCTGTTTGCACTGTTTGCACGATGACATAATAACCAATATAGTTAAACAGGTCACTTCCTGGCTGAAAAATAATCCAACATCGTAGAAATTCTTTCATTTATTTATTCTTTCATATATTCGTTTGTTCTTTACAATTACTCAGCTTCCATCAATGGAGCAGCTGTCCCTCATACTCAGACAACTTTTCCAGCAAAAGGCCACTGTATGTGCTCGCTGCCTTCATGGCGCTATAATCTATTCCCCTTCAAGTACATGGAAATCACGAAGAACTCCGCGCCGACAGTTGCACTCAAAAGCAACGCTGAATGAACAAACCGCGGTTCATGCCCAGAGGAATCAGGAGTATGAAGCAAACACAAATACGCCTGGGCAGCCTCTCCAGGCACACCTCCTGCATGGCTACTACCTAGATATCCTCTCCGCGGCCCACCCCTCACATCCCGCCCACCACGCTCGGCCCCTTCTACTACAAGAAAAGGTCTCACAGTCACAGCGGGAAGTCCATCTACAATCGCAACAATCTCCTCCTTCAAACACGCAATCTCAACATTCCGCGCCCACACCTGCGCCCGCCCCCGCGCCCGAACCTACCCCGGCCGAAAGAATGAGCATAGTCTTCGGCACCCGTCTTGCAGGACCGGGCTACTCTAGCCGCTACAATTCCGATACCCACACCCCGGAATCTACCTGGCATACTGTAAATGGCGTACCTATTCCTCCCCGCCCCCGGGAGCCTGATAACTGCTGCATGAGCGGCTGTGTACATTGTGTCTGGGACGATTATAGAGATGAGGTTGAGTCGTGGGCAGAGAGGGTACGGGAGGCGAAGAGGAGGGGAGAGAATGCAACGAAGAGGAAGGGGAAGGGTAAAGGGAAGGGGAAGGGGAAGGGGAAGGGCAAGAAGGGAGCTGTGCGTGGAGAATCCGTTGTAGCTGGGGAGATGCGGTTTAAGCCGAGAAAGGAGGTGGAGAGTGCTAGCCTGAGTATGGATGATGATGGGGGTGGGTCGGAGGCGAATTGGAGTGTAGGTATTGCAGGCGAGGATGCCGATGATTTGTTTACTGGGATTCCGGTGGGGATTAGGGAGTTCATGAAGTTGGAGAAGAGGTTGAAAGAGAAGCAGAAATTGATGAAGGAAGGGAAGGAGGGGAAGGAGGGGAAGCCTACATAAATGGCTTTTAGCACAGGGCGTGGTGCGAGTCCTTTTCTTTGCACATATAATACTTGATTTATATTTTGGACATAACTATACATAGAGACATATCCTTTACATGACCACTTGATATATTAGTCATTGCATCGTTCACTCAAATGTTCGCCACGATATTCTCCCCCCAAGTCAAAAGGGGGCAAAGTTTGTTATGCATAACAGTCTAATCTAGCCTTAAATCACACTTTGTGCCATCGCTCGTTTAAGGTACACATGGGAAAAACCAGGAGAGATGCGTGATATACCAATGCAAATATTTCTCAGCTCATATATTAGAAAGTGTTCAGGGACTATCAGCAAAATACAAAACACCCAAGCAACGCTCTGCTTCCTCTGTCAAACCATTGACATACGCCCAATATACCAAGAAGAACAAAGGATATAGGTTCAAGCATCATAATGATATCACTCCATATAATCGCACTTATGGCATCATTAGCAGATCAAGGGGAAATGAGAAATAGACAACAGGACGAAGAAAATGAGAAATAGCAAGTGAAAAAGGACCATCAGTACACAGTGTGTACTTTGGATAAAATGAATTGATCAGCAGGAAAATGCGGGGGGAATGGTTGCACTATTGTCGCTCGTATTTAATCTAGCTCGCCTGATAAGTCCCTGCAACATCACGCATGAGATCCTCAAGCATTTCCCTTCTTGCGTTAGGGAGAGTTATTGGCTACTGAATGATTAGCTCCGAGCTCAATCAGTTTACGAAACAAAAATTAAAAATGAAATCAATAATCCAAAACTTACATTGTTCTTCAACAATCCATTCACAAGGATGATAGCATTGTCCCGATCCTTTGACTTCTTCAACCGCTCCGTCTTCTCCTGCACCGACTCCCCAATCGACACCTCAGATATAACCGCTTTAACTGTGTCGATAACCAGTTGGAAAACTTTCATACTCTGCAAGCTTTTGACAACGGCCAGTGAACCTAATTGCGTAGATGCCATCAGAGCAAGCGCAAACCACCCCTCACTCTGCACAACAGGCCACTCAGTCTGCGCTACCATTGCTCCAATAGGAAGCGCAACATCCTCGTGCAGTTTATACAGCCGTTCGGAAACGATCGAAACTTCGACGGCCAAGTCAGTTCCGTTTTGCTGCCGCCGTTGGCTTATGGAGCGACATATCGCGCAGATCGTGCGGCCGATTTCAATCTTGATGGGGGTGGAGTCGGTTTTTTGAAAAAGGGAAAGGAGCAGAGAGAGATAAGTGCGGGAATTTGTGGGGGAATCATGGTCAGCGGAGAGGGGTTCCATCAGGCGGGAGATGTTATAGAATGAGGAGACAATCACTTGGCGTGTGAGACAGGCTGCTGAGAATTGGACTTGGGGAACGCTCTCGAATGCCCAGAGGCGAGATACTGCTTTGATAATTCCTGCTGATCCAAGGTGCTCTTTGTTATGGCCAGCGATGGCGAGGTTCTTCAGGAACCCTAGGACGGGGTGCAGAACAGCGCCTATGGTATTGCCATTGAGAATTGATATCAGAGGTACGTGAATTTTGAAATCTTGAACCATCGATATACATATGGCATCTTCCCGGGCTAGATTGCCGAGCATGACGCAGGCACATACCTGCAATTGGCCTTCGGGTTCCTCAAGGCCACGATCGCAGGGTTTCAAAAAGTTTACTGTTGGGGAGGGGACCTCCCTGAAAGAACAACTGGAAAGGCAGAGATGCTTGAGAGCGCTTGGGTTAATCCTCAACCCGCAGTTGTGCGAGTATTGAACCTCTTCTGGAAAAAGAATCGCGAAGAAGATATGTCGTACATCGGCCAAGGGTGGATGCACCTCCTTCGAAAAAACCGCCAATTATCCTTAAATTCTGAAAGCGCTCGTTTTGCAATACGAAACAAGGCAGTTGCTTATG